GTGGAAACTTGCAAATATTGATTATGAAATATCAATTTATCCCCCGTTCCTCTGTCAGAGTCGATATACCAATAGAAGTCTTGTACTGATAATGATGGCAATCAAATATCTTCATTTTTGTTAGCCTGCATTTTAGATTAGCATGCTAAAATTAACCTGCATAACTTACATATTTCAGCATTTTTGCAGGCTAACAAAGCAGGTTAATTTTGCATACTAAAAAAGCAGGGCAATTTTGCAGGCTAATTGAGCAGGTTAAAATGATTTTGCAGGCTAAAATAAGCCTGCTTTTAAAATGTACAGGCTAAATTAAGCCTGCCTAATTTGCATATTTCGGCGTTTTTGCAGGTCAGTGCTTGCTAAGGAATTAGCCTGCTTTTTAGCAGCTATGCAGGCTTGATGCAGGCTATAAGCAGGCCTGCCTTTTCGGTAAGGGCTATCGCTAAGCTCTGTTTGCTCCTGGAAGTGGATTCCTGAGATTTTATGTGTTAAATCGCGTTAAGGTGATATCATAATAATGGATCATGGTTCATTGGATGGCACATGGATCTGCAATATTTGTGGTGTAATTTAAAATAAGTGTTAGAAGTGCGAGCCTAGCAACGCCTCCCCTTTATGATATATTAGTGGACCGCTGTTTATTGGATGGATTCAGTCACTCGCCGTAAGTTTAGTAATTTAGCGGTCTTCGTTATCGCGGTCTTACATCGCAAAGGATTTCTTCTGACACAAAAGGGAGAACTGACCATACCGAGATTGAACGCTTTCGCAAAGAAACATTAACATTCAGATTGATAAACACTATAAGAGTGAAATTTGATACATCGAACAATGACAATCAGAAAAAGGATTGTTGGAGATATATCCCATGGAAGGACTGATAGTTGAATATTTAAATATTAATCCATGCATGAAATATGTTTTATAATATGTATACATAAGATATTGGTAGAAATACATGCAACTCCTGTTGTTTCCCTTTTTTTGTGCATTGAGGCCAAATATCAGATTTGGGGTTATAAAAGGAAAAAAACAAAAAAAACAAAAAACAAACAAACAAATAAAACATGACAAGGGTTGCAGTTATTTCACATGTGCAGAAATTTCTATGTTATGTTTATATGCAGGTTGTATCTGCTTGACAACATAATCCATATGGTGACATATGGAGACTGAAAAGGAATTTTCATCAAGAGTAGTTAAATCCTAAAATGTATCCAAAGCTACTGTTTGTATTAGGAGTAAAAGAAAAGGAAAATTTGTCTGAAATTTCAAAGATATGTATATATGTTAATATAAACTTGATACAGTTTGGAGAAAATGATTAAGTACAGCCAGTGAAGATTTAGAAAATGTTATTATCAGTTACATACACGATGGAAGTTATTTGCATAAGAAATACCTTTACCGTAGATGAAAGGGTTTGATTTATATGTATATAAATAGTGGAGTACGTTTTATTTTTACATTTATGTGCTTTTTCATAGTATGTTAACAGATTTAAATGGGATGTTTGTGTTATTAACCGAAATACAATTTCTATGAAAGGGTTGTATGATAGGATAAGTTATGTAAATGTTCATTGAATGTTCACATTTAAGGGGCCGGAATGTTGCATACGATGTGGGGTATTATGACGTCAGAAGCGAAGTTTTGGTTATTTTGGGTTTAGCCATAGAGGGCAGTTGCGAATTTGTTAGGGAAACTAAAACACGTTGTTGCAGTTAGTTATCGGCACTGAAAGTGCACCATTTTTTGGTATTTTGACACAAGCCCAATGTTGTGAGTATTTATTTACCTCTGTTTATTGAAATATGATGACTATTGTTGTGTTTGATGCTATTGGTGATAAAAATGAAGAAATGCAAATAGTGTAAAATTAAGTAAGAAAATTGTTACTCACGTACGTAAATTTACGTTGTGTGTGGGCATGCAGTTGTGTATAAAGTCATTGGGTTAGAATTAATTTCGGTAAACGTAAAGAAGACAGATATGAATATGACAGAAAAGTTGTATTATTATTAGTTTCAGTGGATTATGTTAGAAATGTATGTACAGTATAAGCTGTCCAATATTCAGTTGGTTTTTTTTTGGATTAGTATGAAAGACAAAATGTTTTATAAAGAGTAGTTGACAGAAAGTAGGTCAGGTATGCCAGGGGTCATTATAGATTGGTAGTCTTTCGTGGAGCCTGTTATTAAGATTTAGGTTACCACTAAATGATATGTTGGGCCTATTATGCTTTGGTAATTAATAGTGAGTCAATAGGTTGTATCAAAGGAGCTATGAACTCATCTTAGCAGAAATATGTAAAGATATTTCCTAACTCATATTATGCCATTTATTTACAGTTATTTACAAACCTGTTTATTATTTGACTGGATAAGATAAACAAATGTTGGATAGATTATTTGATTGTCATATCAGCTATGCTAAGTAGCATATTGGATGCATTATTCTAGTAATGCTTATGATTGTGTTTTTTATCTTTTATTAAAGGTTGAACCTTGCACCTGCCAGTTTGGAGTCTTGGTATCACAAAAGGGTGTCGCTGTGTTATTCATTCGTCAATGGTGTCTTTTGGTTAAGTGAATTAATCGTCAATCGTCAATCGTCAATCACAAAAACATTTTTGTAACTTTTGTAACTTCGTTTGTATCGAATTTCTTTTGATTACATTTCATATTGAGATAGGTACGAATTTCCACCTTTAATTCTTGTATCAAATATACAGCATGTATCCTGTGCTTTTCACATCTAAAACATTCTCTAACATAGTTTCTATAGATAACAAACTGAGCGAAGTTTAAAATAAGATTGACAAGATTCATTTCTCTTCTCTCTATTTCATGACCTATTAAAAGAATTTCTTCGTTCAAAAAGATTTTAAAATTAAACAAAGTATCAATTAATTTGGATACAATCTTCCAAAAAAGCGAGACATTCTTGCAAGCCAGGCGAAGGTGGTTAGTTGTATCTGGAATCTTACATATATCACATAGATTATTATTTTTAATCTTCCATTTACATAAATTGTCTTTACTGGGCAATATTCTATGAAGATATTTAAAATTAAACTGCTTAATTTTGTTGTCATTTATAAAGTAAAACTTAAAAAATAAAGTAAAACTTTCCTCGTATTATGAATAGCGACCGTCATTTCTTTTTATGAATTGCAACCCTCTACTCCTATTATGAATACCGAACCTCATTTCGCTTTATGAATAGCGAGTCCTAGCGACCCTCCCGTCATGTTATGAATAGAGACCTACATTTGGTATTATGAATAGCGGTCCTCACGAGAAGTGACCCCCAATGTAAATTATGAATAGCGACCCTCTTCTCGTTTCATGAATAGCGACCTCGATATCGTATTATGAATATCGGTGCTTATGATTAATGACCCTCAATATGAATTATGAATAGCGACCCTCATCTCACGTTATGAATAGCGGTCCTTATGATTAACGGACCTTATTTCTTTAAAAATGATGACCCTTTCCTCCCATTATGAATAGCGGACCTGCATGTATGGTAAGTTCCACGTGATGAATAGCGGTCATTATGAATAGCGAATAGATCCCGATGATATCTAACTTGTGCATGTACTCCACATCAAATAGCCCATTATTGTTGTAAAGAACTTATTAGCTTGCACCCAGATCCCAGATGTTATGTGTTTGATCTTGTGATTGAAAACAAGATCAGACACATCATCATAATTTCCCAAAACTTCTGAACAAATAGCTACGTTCAGACGGAGAAAAGTTACCCTTGGGGAAAGCTCGTGTTAAGAGCTAGTCGAGGAAAATAATTATGCCGGGGTATATGGCGGGCCAAGCATCCAGCCGGCCAATCAGAACGCAAGAAATTGTACATATATACAACTATACCAGTGGCGGATTCAGGGGGCACAAGGGGCACGTGCCCCCCCCCCCCCCCCCCCCCGGTAAAAAAAAGGGGGGAAGGGGGAAGAGAAAGGAAAAAAGGAGAAGGGAAAAAAAGGAGGGGGAAAATAAAGAAAAGGGAAGGGAGAAAGGAGAAGAAAAGAGGGAGGAGAGAGAAGGAAGAGGAGAGAAAGGATCGAGGGGAAATGAAGAAAGGGGAAGAGAGAGAGAGAGAGAGCAGAGAAAAGGGGAAAAAGGAAGAGAGACGGAGAGAAAAGGGGAAAAAGGAGAATAAGGAGAAGGAAAAAGAAAGAAAGGGTAAAGATATCATAAGGTGTCTTTTTTACCGGAAAGGGGCGGGGGGGGGGGGGCACGCAATTTTGCAGTATGCATAATATGGTGTCCCTTTTGACAGGCATTTAGCCCCCCCCCCCCCCCCCCTTCTCTCTATCTTTCTCTGTCACCATAGCCAGTTCAGAGGTGTCCCTGCCCTGCAAACTACTGCCAATGTTACAAGTGATCTCGAAAGTGAAAAAAAATCCATACCCTCGCGTTGTCACTCTTTCTTTTAATAGGCATCTATACAGTTTCTTTAAAAAAAATATCGGAACACGCCCCCTTCGTCAACATCTCATTGTAGCACCCCTTGTTTCCCTCCATCTCTTATTTTTTATTCTATTTTTAATTTTTTTTTCTTTCTCTCTCTCTCTCTCTATCTTTCTAGTTCGTTTGTCTGTATATATTCCTCTCTTTATACCCCCCCCCCCCCCCCATCTCCAGTATTTTGATCAGTTGATCAACCAATTCTAAATTTTCACTTTACTTGTTCACATCCTTTCACACATCTATACACTACATACCTTGGAAAATGTAATAATCAAGCAGAACACCTGAATAAATATCTACTCTTGTATATAAACTATATTATAGCATTCTATATATACTCCTGATTGGAACAATAAATACATTTGTAAATTTTATTAAATATTCAGCACAATATCGCACTCAGAGCTATATTTAAGGGGAAGTCCATCCTGACATTAAGTTGGCTTTCATAAAAGTAGAAAAATTAGAGAAATATGTAATATATATATATATATATATATATATATATTTTTTTAATATCTAAGGCAAATATGAAGGATTTCGCAAGATTCGTCACTGAGTTGCCAATTTGTGTTTGATTGATCGCACCTTCAAAAATTCATAACTTTCTCATATTTGATCGTTTTTTGCTCAAACTTCACTGACCTGTTTGAACAAGTTCTCTAATTGTTCTGCTTATAAAACAGGGTGGACTTCCCTTTAAACACTTTGTAGCACAGAGTATAAACAGGGAACAGTAAGTACATGTACATTCTCTGATATGAAATGTACATTGTATATTCCCGATTTAAATGTACATTGTATATTCCCGATTTAAATGTACATTGTATATTCCCGATATAAATGTACATTGTATATTCCCGATATAAATGTACATTGTATATTCCCGATATAAATGTACATTGTATATTCCCGATATAAATGTACATTGTATATTCCCGATATAAATGTACATTGTATATTCCCGATATAAATGTACATTGTATATTCCCGATATAAATGTACATTGTATTATCACACATAACATTAGCTACACATACATATTATCATAAAAAATTGCAATGCAGACGAAGTAGAAAAGACAGGATCGTCTACCAATGTTCTTACAACCCACTTTCCTGAAGAAACTACATCACATGCTTCTTTTGTGCGACAGATTGACAACATTCTGTAATGCCTTGCGCTTGAACGGTGCACATGCTAACAAAAAGTGGGACATCCCAGTCAACTGACAGCCCATGAGACCGACAATGCCAGCAGAGTGAACCCTCAGACAAGTTGTCGGAAGGCTCTTGCAGGCCGCGTATTTTTATTTACACTGTAGCCTGTGATTTTACGGCTTTAATTTCAATGAAACCGCTCGCGGTGAGTCTAGTCTTTATTTCAAACATGTGGTGCGTTAACAATGATAATGTACTCATCTCATATTCATATTCAACTACAAGTGCAAAGTTATAAATATCAACATCAATATTTTTACACATAATGAATTAGTAGAGTTGTAAGATTGTATTGACTCTATATCGACCCCCTCTCGGCCGGTATGAGGTTTGCATGCTATATATATAATATAGCATCATCATCAGCTCATCTCATCTAGGCAATCAACGATGCATGAGCTAGCTAGACCCTTCGTGAGCGTGTTTATTGAAATTTAAGACATAAAATCAAAGGCTGCCGTGTAAAAAAAATTACGGCTGCGGGCCGTTCTTCGCATGAGCCTATTGATAACTCTTCTGGAGGCCCACGAGACAGTCATTATAATCTCATGATCTGTAGCACATTACAAGAACCAATATATATTTACATTGAAAATGTTCACATAATACCCATGTATCAACAAAACATGGAAAGATCTTTGGTCTAGTTTGTGATTTACACAGTACCTCACATAAGAAACAAATACTAAAGTCATTCCGACAAAAATTGTGGACCGGTACATCCAATATCTATACACATAATTGAGTAACAGCTTATTTGATTCGTTAATATTACAGGGGTGGTATTGTTTCCCAACTTAAATTGACAGGAAAGATTCTAATTGTCTTCATAACGCTGAAATTCTCCCCCCACAATAGTAATTCATGTAGAAGAGCAGTGTATCAGATGAAAAATCTTTCCAGTAAAAACAAATAACGATGTTCTACTAGTCTTCTTCTAATTAACAACCAAAAACAACAGAACTTGCTTTTGATTAGTCAAATAATTTTTGAATTGAATGAATGAATTGTTGATTGTAGTCTCAGACCAACTAACGAATCTTTAAAAATGCATATCGCTTTAAAAATGAGGTATGTGCACTTTCAGACATCAGTAAAGATGAAGGTGTGTTGTGGTCAAGTGGATAAGTTTCTGGACTGTGAACCACAAGGGTTCAAATCCCTACAACAGATATAACGACATTTGGCGAAACATTACCGGTAATCTACATTTGCCACAATCCATCCAGGCAAGGTAGATTAAATGGGTACCTGGTAGGATTATTCCTTAAAATGCACCGTGCCCTGATAACGGCTGCCAGAGCTAAAGCTAGGGTAAACATTTCCAAAGCCCTTTGGATGGGCATAGGGACTTTATAATAAGATTTGTGCTATACAAGAATAGGTTCTTATTATCATCAAAGTTAGTAGAACACACAAACCTCTTGTTTGGTCTAATCAGGAATATAGGATTCACAGAAAATTGTGTCAAGTTATAGCAAAGCTTCACAGAAGCCATACAGATGTACATGGATGTCCGATTTCTAGCAGTTACGACTCAGGATCAGATCGGCTGCTTCCTCGATGCTATCTACAACAAAGTCAGCTTTCTTCTCTAGAATTCTCTTGTCGACGCCCCCAGTCAAGACACCTATGAAGAAAGAAAAGAGAGACAGGAAGAAGGGGAGAGGGAGAGAGAGAGAGAAATGAAAAATTAATGTACAGTCCTCATTCATACCCCATAGTACACAAGGCAAAATATTTGGCTGTTGCCCAGACATTTAACAAGATAAGCTTAAAATATAATCTTGTTATCTTAGCTACAATAATTCCTTGACCTGGGATGTGACTAAACCCAATAAACTACGAAAATACATTAGCATCTTGTAATGGTACATTATCTTTCATTTTCTTTCGGCAACATAACTAAACTCTTCCTGCCATTGTATGAAAATAAGACAACTGTCGGGGAAAAATAATAATGTGCAAACCATACCAACTCGGCTTCTTATTCAAATCTAGAGAAAACTGAACTCTACTAATTATTCTGTTTGACATTAACTGCCTGCCATTGTATACTTGTGTTTCCTAAAAACCCAACGCAACTTTCTTCCCGTTTCCTGCCATTCTTTAAATTATCTATTTCAGGAAACGAGCATTGACCCATTCAACGCTAGGCATTGTGCAAATGAATATACTATGTTACCTGCAGGAACTTCTTATTTAGTATTTAAAGATAAAGACCAGTTATGGTCATGCGATTACATTGTGAAAGAAACGTGGAATCGATCAGAAAAGGTTGATCATCTAGCATATAAGTATTGATGTGTACTGCAAGGTAATGGAATCATCAAAATGATAAGAAATTTGGCCCAGTCTTTGTAAAGTTATAAGCACTGTACACGGAAAGATGTATATGGGACTACGCGACACATGCACGATATCTATCAGGTTCAAATAGATATAATAATTTACCAAATATATCATTTAGTAGGCGGTTTCTCAGCAAAATTTGTATCATCACTTATTTGTCAAAACATATTCTTTCACATTATTGGTAATAAGAGCTTCCATTTCATATTTTGAGAGGGGGGCGTTTCCAAAACTGGTCTTTACCTTTAATGTTTATAGCAAGAAGAGAGTTGCAATGAATAGGGGGGATAGTCTGAAAACTATGGTATCTTTTATGGACATGTAAAACGCCAATTGTCATAACTCAAAATTACAAGTCCTTGGTTCATTGTTGTCTGTTCAACGTTGGCTATGTAAACATAACGTAAAACCAGACATCTGCAAACAAAAAACAATAATACTAGCTGTGCCTAATCAGCACAGTTTCAGGTGTGTATACTAACATCAATTTCCTTGACATAAAAGATCATTTTTTACCCCCCAAAAAAGGTAAAAATCGCGTGATTTTACATGATTTTTTTCTCAAGGGGGGGGGGGGGGGGGGGGGGGGGGGGGGGGCCCGGGCCCCCCGGGCCCCCCGGGCCCCCCCCCCCCCCTGGATCCGCCACTGCCTTGGCAGACCTGCCAACCTCTGGAGTTCAAAAACTGTATTATTTAACCCCCAAACTTGTATTTTACTGACAAAAGTTGTATTCTTTAAAAAACAACACACACTGTTACACGAATCAATGCCTCTTATAGTTCGTACTTACAGGAAGAATTTTTTGTATGGATCATTGGTTTAATATACATGATCTCGTCACGACTGGTGTGTTCGATGAACCAATGAACATCCCCAAATTGCCCATGTGAGATGCTTGTAGGATACTTTACAGGACAGAATCGTTTTTCCATTTTTAATTTTTTTTTTTTTAATAAATTGTATTTTATTGAGGCAAATCGTACTGTCGTAGTTGATTCTAAAAATCGTACGAAATACGACTAAATCGCAGGACTGCCTTGGGCACTTCTGACCAAATTGCTGTTTCCCAGTTAAAGCAGTAGAGGAAAGTGTAGGAGTGCCTCACTTACTTATGACAAGGCCGCATTTTGAGTTCTTGCCGCACATAGCATCAGTGATGGTGTCCCCTACGAAGACGGCGTTCTTGGGATGTACTCCTAGTCTAGAACAGATCTTGAGGGCGGTATACGCATCGGGCTTTGGTTTGATTCCAGCGTCGTTTCCGCAGACCACCATGTCGACCAGGTGAGACACGCCTAGTCTGTCCAGAGTGCCTTCCGTCATGATGCGACTGTCTGCAGTGTCAACAGCAATGTAATAGCCCTCGTCTACAAAGGAGAAAAGGAAGAAAACGATATGTATCTTTGTTAACACCGTGAAAACCTACCGAGAACATTCAAATTTCCATTTTTCTCTTTCATCTTGCATATCTTGATTTGATTTGATTTGATTTATTTATTTCTGTTTTATTTTATTTTTTCTTTTGCATTATAAACAAACAATCATTGCAAATTTACACATGACAAAAGAATATAATTAAGGCTGGCTGTAACTAATCGAAAACATCAAACAGGAGGGTTGACAAAGTAAGCAAAGCTTGATAGTATGACTACCCTCAAAGGATATTACATAATAATACAAATATGGAGGGAAAAAATTATTGGTAAAAGGGGAAAAAGACAGAAAAAAGAAAGAGGGGATGCACATCAAGATTCACAGATGTATGTGGGATACAACCCCCCCCCCCCCCCTCCTCTCCAACCCCAAATGGTGAATACAAAAGAAATGTTATAGAAGTTGTGAAGATCTATCAATAATATTGGAGTGAGAGACAGCAGGACATCAGCTGCCGATCAAAAGGCCATTACTTCTATTGGCATGGCAATCCATAGCTCTGACATAACGGCCTTCTTTTGGACAGCCGACAAAGATCATAGATGAAACCACAGAGGCATGGACCAGTGAAATGAAGAATAAATGTGTGGTTTCTATTATAAGTGCCTGCCTATTCACTGCCAATCTAACCATTTTCTACCTTTTCCTATCACTTAAGCAGATTTTTTTTTTTTTTTTTGTTGTTTACTTCTTGCATACGTATACCGGTATGTTATTTTGTTTTAGTATAGAGCCCATAACACACAATTTCCAAACAACCCAGCCCAAGTATTGTCAAGCACAGTATTTTGTGGGTAAAATTGGTTTTAGCTTATGCAAGGGTCACTCTGTGGCCTGGACCCACCCTCCTCAGAGGTCGCCAAATATCGACGTCGACTCGACGCCTAAGCCTGACCCTGACCTATTTGTTGTTGTAGTGAAGTCCTAACGTTCGTTTTTCTTCATTGGGTGAAGCTTTACTATACAAATTGATGAAATGTGTGAAGCTTTGATGAGTAATTTGTTTTTTTCTGGTGATGTGACATCGAATCCAATCGGTCGCCTTGTTTGTTCAGGTGATGTGACATCGAAGCCACTACCGGTCGCGTCGAAAATATGTCGAAATCATGTCGAAATCGTGCGTTTCAAAACAACTATTTAATTTTTATTCCCCTCACTCATGCACTCGCAGAGTGATCGTCCTGAGGTCACCGAACTTTTCTCCAGCGAAACTGATTTCGAGATTTCACGAGATCGTTTTCGAGTAGTCTACTAGTCTCCTACACATAACTAGTTGCGTGAGTATTCGCAGTATACGTGCCTGAAAGGCCAGCCTCAATTCTGGAAACGAGACTAGTAGCCTACGAGCTGTCGGTATTGTACCCAGCATGCGCAGCGCAGATCGTGCCAAGTTTTGGCCCCAAGTTTTTGCGAGGTGAGTTGAAAAAAAATAGAAAGTTCAGAGTTTTCCGATCATTTTGAGACGGTACTACTCCGACCCTGTTTTACGATTGATTATTAAAGAAATCTGTGCATAAAACTTAGCCTATATTTTCGCGAGATTTCAATGTTGACGTATTCCACAAAGGTATTACGCCACAGCAGTGCCATGCGCTCGAGTCGAAGCCTTACGAAAGTGAAGCCTCACCTATGGAAAACTGACACAAGTGAAGCCTCACCTATGTAAAACTGACAAAAGTGAAGCATCACCTATGCAAATAATTCAAAGGGTGAAGCCTGGACTAACACATTTGCTGATAAGAGTGATGCTTTGCCTTTGTTTTTTGTAAAGCACATGAAGTGATGGTGAAACCCTGAGGTTACAAATAATTGGCTCAGGTGAAGAAAGGTGATGACCTGAGGAGGGTGGGTCCAGGCCACAGAGTGACCCTTGCATTAGCAGGGGTGATAGTGAGCACCTCAACCACGCCCACTTTGAGTAAAAAAAGAAAGAAGAAGATTTGGGGGGGGGGGGAAATGGCACTGAAAAAAATTCACCCCTTTTGAGTAAGAAAATTACGGAAAATTAGGGGAAAAAAGCGAAGAATAGAGAAAATAAGGGAAAAGTCAGGAAATCGGGAAGAAAAAATTCAGGTAAAAAAAGAAAGGACAGGAAAAAATCAAAAAAATCAGGAAACCGATTTATATCGGGTAATTATCAGGCCTGCTTAGTTTTTATTATAGAACAAACCAGTACCTCTGAGCCTGGAGAAGATACCATGTACATCGCCAAATTCCAGGAGCTCTCCGCAGACCGCAGCATTACCATCGTCAAAGCAATCCTCGCTGACGAGACGAGCCCTCTCAGGGGAAAGCCCCTTTTTCACAAGGAGCTCACACAGGTACTCAAAGCAGACTTGGTTTGTACACTCCATCAGGATCCCGGGTCCAAACATGCGGGCGTCGAAGTTGAACCCCATCGCCTTGTAGATATCATCTTGAAGTGAGAGTCCAGTTGAAGCCTCCATTCTGTTTGGGTGGTTGGGGGAGAAGACATAACAAATACTTTGAATTTGTATGATATCAATCTAGCCAATAAGGGAGTTTACAGATACAATCTGCGCATGGGCAGATAAAGGTCATTTGTACCAAAAAGGTAAAACCCACCAGAGATGAATACTGGATATGCGCTCATGAAAGTTATGTAACATTATTCATTCATGCACCAACGGTACATTCTAAGATACGCAGGTGGAAGTATTCTTTTCCAGAGGGCAAACAAAAGGTATTCATGAAGCACATCTAGGACTTTGGCATTTATTATTAAAGATGCTCAAAGTGGAGTTTCTCCATGTGTAAAAGATCTGTGGATATTTGGGGTCATTTGTACCATGCGCTATCTCTAAAATATTAGAGTACATGACAAAAGTCAAAGAAACTACAATTCAATTGGATGACCGATTTGCAAGCTACTTAATCACACCTTGTAGCTTTTTATCATTATCAATCATATACAGCAATAGTTCTTTCTGTAGTATCTGTATGAGCTCCGACTTTATTTTTATTAATTAAATTAATTAAATTGACCCCCCCCCCCCCCCCCCCCTCCTTGTTCAATTTATATTTTTCCTGAGACTGTGAGCACAGACTTTGTTTGTATAGATCTAGGAATTAACACTTAAAATAAAAGGCTTTAGACCACGGACCCATTTCACAAAGCCTTTTTTCAATGACAAATGACAAAATATCAGTGACAAATCGGCTGATAACCAATCAGAAGCAAGCATTTCAGTAGCTTAAATAACAACTGTCATTTGTCACTGATGACAAGTTTTGTGAAACACCCTTCAGACGTTACATGTAGATCCAGACCTACGATATCAAGGTTCACTCTCTCTATCCCCTTTTGATTAAAACGATCAAAAGCCTACCCCCACCCCCTGAAAGCTTCTTATAGGACTAGACGTACTTCAGGTTCTTTATTTTTTCCTAAAGACAAGTATGAGCACTGACTTTATTTGTATCAATAATTTTTTTATATAAATAAAACACTTTCTATGAATGATCATAAGATAAGCCTCCCCCCCCCCCCCCCCCTTCTCGAAAGATTCTTATAGACCCTAGGTGTACTTTTATGGTTTTAGTTTTAGTTTAACTTTAAAGCTTATCTGCACTAGTTTGGCCAGGAGGGATTAGACCACACAGCGAGGTCACTGACAGGTAGCCATCTCATCAACTCAGCTCTCAAATAACATAAGAAGCAAGAGGATCATGGGGGACCAACAGGCACTGATTGGGGAAGTTTTCTATATAGAGGGAGCAAGTAGCTACAAGGAGGACAGTGGGGCTTTAAGTTTACCTTTCTGCTGTCTGGATTAACCAGGGAGCCCACATAGCATGCATGCAGGTCAGGGTCCCATCTTTGTCAAAGATCACTACCTTCTTCTCAGCACTGGCTGTGCCTGTAGAATAGGGGTTGATGTAGCTATTGCTGTTGTTGTTCATCTTGGAAGATTTCGATCAGAAAAGGAATGTCTATAAAAAGTAAAGATAAAGACATGAAAGACAAGTTACTAGTTAGGTGTAGACTCTGAATCCTTTTCTGAATTCAGTTCCCCCCCCCCCTCCCGCGCAAAGCGCAGAAGCTTTGACGTTTCATTTGATCTAGGCCTAGGCCTATTATTATAAAGAAGACGATTCGTTGGACCGTTCTCGACTCTCTAGTCTTAATCCTTGAAGCCTGATTCCTTGTCTGAATTCAATTCCCCCCCCCCTCCCGCACAAAGCGCGAAAGCTTTGACGTTTCATTAACTTTATAATTAGAGAAAGAAGACGATTCGTTGGACCGTTCTCGACTATTCTTAATCGTTGTCTGAATTCAATTCCCACCCCCCCCCCCCTCCGCAAGCTTTGTTTGACGTACATGTAGGTCTACGTTTCATTAAATTTATTATCAGAGAAAGAAGACGATTCGTTGTACCGTTCTCGACTCCTGTCTTTGTCTGCTCCTTTTTCGTATGTCCTCTCCAAGGCTCAAATTAATTTTTTGTCCACGGGGGCTCTTCCAAACAAAAAAGAGCCCCCATGAGCCCTCTCACAGGGGCTCTTTTTTAATACAAATTTTCATTGAATTGGTACCCATGAATGCTCCTAAATTATTTGCTATTTCATCATGATCATATTTTTAAGGCGGCATTTTCCCTCTTACAACTTTACAAATTATATGGGGGTTACTGACTTTTATCCCGTGATGATATTCTCTCTATTTCTTCCTGTTCTGCACATTCCTCTTAGTCATTCAGAGCAACCTTATTACATTCTTTTGTTAGTCTTGACAATATTATTCAACTGCCAACATCATCTTTGGTCATCCTCTTCTTCTCATAGCATGATAGTCATACCACCCACTTCCAGATTCCAAGCTCTTTCCACGGGTTCATCATCTTCTCCTCTCAATTCATAACCAATAACCCATCCATCTCAATCCACCTGTCTTAATAAGTTATCCACTTCCACATTTTCCTTTGAAAATTGAAGGTTCATTTAACCATTTTTGTGGATTGTGAGGTAAGTTTTCGCAACTGTAGACTAAAGTTAGACTTCTAGATCTCTACATCATGTCATGAAATGATGAAATATAATTTGCAATGTCTCCATATCTGCTTTATTTTGCAATCGCCCCCAGCCCTGTGAACCATCTGACGGAGGCGATTATGGAATGGAGCTCATGTACGGGGGCGAATCGCCCATCGCCCACTTGTATTTTGAGCGCTGGTCCTCTCCCTTTTTTCTCTTCTCTCTTTCTATGTTTTTTTTTTGGGGGGGGGGCAATTGCCCCCTCCGTTCCCCCCCCCCCCCCCCCCCCCACCCTGGCCACTGACTTTAGACTAGTATAGATCTAGACCCTAGTTTAGACTACTCTAAACAAAATCAGAAATTGTTATTTTCCCTCAAACTCAAACTTCAAACTTCAAAGGCCTCAGCTCGTTACTTTCAATTGCCTAACTTACCAAAACTTGTAACTGTCACTGTGAGAGTGAGTGAAGGTTGAACTTGTGAATGGTGCTCAGCAGTCAGCTCAGCGGATGATTATAAAATTCGGGTGAGATGAATGCAGGATGATTTAGTCTAACTTAGAAGTTAGATCTAGACCGAGTAGTCTAGCTGGGCGATAATAAAACTCAGTCTCAAAATCAGATAAAGCCAGCTCGAAGTCACTTGCCTCCATAAGAACTTCTCTCTCGAAATTTAAAAAGGCAGGAAAATATGACCAGTGTTACAAGCAAAACGGTTTCGTAGCAGAATGATAGCGGCGGGGCTAGCTAGCTCAGTCGGCCGGGCCGGTACATGGTCATGGTCATGGTACGTACATGCGATCGCGACGGGCGATGACTGCATACGTACGAGCACTGTACCGGTGCACCTTGTTTACAATATGTGACACTCATGGTGGGGAATCCTTTTTCACATGCCTGTCACATGCTTAGTCGGTGGCTAGTCTTAGTCAGATACCCATTGAAACGTGTGATATTCTTTTCTTAATATTCTTTCTTCAATTTATCGTCAAACTTAATTTCCCAAACTGTATTGATTCCAAAATAGTTTTAAATTAATAATTTATAGCAACATGACACGTTAGCTTCTAAATTGTTGGGATGGGAATAAATGATAAATTGTAAAAGTTCGTATACGGCAGGAAACCAAGACCACGCACTAGTCGTTTTGTAGACTTGTGTTACGTCATAAAGATATAATTCTAGTCTCTCACGATCAGACTCCGTCACTTTATAGATAGTCACAAATAATGGACTCGCCAATTTTGCCATTAAAACTAAAGGGAAAAACCATTTTTTGACAATGACAATTAATAGGGTGTATTAAAAAGGAGAATTAATGATCACTCCATTTTCCTCTTCCTAATAAACTAAACAGTGATCGGGTTTGTTTACGACTTCAATCTCACGACTGTCTATTATAGGAAGACTATACCAGTTTCTATTTCATTTCGGCTTCTTTTTTATAATCCGATCGACCGCACCCACTTCAATATTCTTTCTTTCTATACTGAGGGGGGGGGGGGGGGGGGGGGGGGGGGGGGGTGGGGGGGGGGGGTTGGGGGGGGGGGGGGGGAAGTAACATAGATTTGGTTTTGGCGGGGTTATTGTAAGTACGTGCTGATGCCTCCAAACCCATACCTATTTCCGAGGCGTCATTTTGACAGAAAAGGATGCACTTATATTATAAATTCTTATATAGAGACTTCCTTATAAAATGCTTTTATTTAATTTCATCTGGGTTTTGTAATTCGAAGATGATGGTAAAGTAACCCCCATTTTTATAATGCCAACTGAAATCACCAAACATACTGAATTAGTTTGGCAAGTACCCCCCCCCCACCCCCCTCAGAACTCGATCCTCCCCTAGCCTTATTATATATGGGTTTCCTCTAATTATTACAGCTATACCATACGTAACATAGGATTCATTTTGAAACTGGAGGAAATACAACAAAAAAATGTTTTCCTTAACTTATTATTAGGCCTAAAATAAAAACTTGTATTGCACTTTGCGACCGACCCAAAAATCTGAAAATCTACGGTCTGCATTAAAAAAAAAAAAAAAAAATTAAACCGTTTCTTATATTTTGTTTATATTAATGAATACAAATAAATTTATTTTGTTTGTTTAAATGGGATATAAATGCATAAAATCAAATTATTACAAAATTCTCACTCGTGCAAACCATGGATAATTATGAGGTGAAAAAGATATCAATGGAATGATGACGCTGAAGCACATGTATTAAAGCATTAAAAACTGAGAAATTTCAGCTAAAAGAGCTAAGGCGGGAAAAAGAAAAAAACATTCAAATCTGAAAACATCGGCCCAAAGAGGGCGACCAAAAAAAAGTTTAAAAAAAAAAAATTCTGACTGACCGAACCCATGTTTTGGCACCCAAAGGGCAATACAACAAGTTTTTATTTTAGGCCTTATAGCACTTTGGTGAAACAAATTATACCACAAAATCACAATACAGACAAATATGGGTTTTTTTTCTTCGCATATGGTGACAACTTTATGAGATAGTTTGATTTGATATATTACATATAATGTATTCAATATCACAAATTTAAAAAAAATGCATTTCACCTCATGACTCACTTTGTGAAATTTAAGTTGTATTTCATACATTGCATACAAATCATCTAAAAGCAATAAAATCTACAATACAAATATACATGTACTAGGTACGTGTGCTACATAAACTGTCTAATGTACCTGCTTTACTATTTCTTATTTATTTCAGCTTTACCCGGTGCTAAACATGGGTTTCATGATTTCAGTGAGAGCTAGCCCTGTAAAGAAATTGCAAGATCATTTAGAGCAGATTTAAAGAGCACACAAACACAGTAATAGTAATAGTCCACACCGATCTTATATCATGACAATATTGTCTGCTGAGAGTCAAACATTTATTTATCAATATCACTTATATCTTGATACAATTCCGGCTCTCCTTACATGATATATTAAAATGTTTAACAGATGTAAAATTAAAAAATAAATAAAACAAGAGTTGCTTTTGGTAACTCAGGTTTCTCCTGAAATATACTCACAATTGCACAATGATTCTAATACAGAATTGTTATCACATGACGGACATACATGGAGCTGGTTACTAAGGTTTGACTAAAAATGAATACTTTTGGTAACTGTTGTATCTCACCTATTGTACATTTGCTGATGAAACAACATTTTCAGCTACCATATGAAAGTTTCAATTGATATGCTTACTCATCATGTAAGACACTGAAAAGTTGATATTCCCAAATATGTAATGTTTGTATATCATCTATTGTACATTGCTGATAAACCAACATTTTCAGCTACCATATGAAAGTTCCAACTTATATGCTCACTCATTATGTAAGACACTGAAAAGTTGATATTCCCAAATATGTAATGTTTGTAACTTTTTATATCATCTATTGTACATTGCTGATAAACCAACATTTTCAGCTACCATATAAAAAATTCCAATTCATATGCTCACTCATTATGTAAGACACTGAAAAGTTGATATTCCCAAATATGTAATGTTTGTATATCATCTATTGTACTTTGCTGATAAACCAACATTTTCAGCTACCAACTGAAAGTTCCATTTTATATGCTCACTCACATGTAGACACTGAAAAGTTGATATTCCCAAATATGTAATGTTTGTAACTTTGTATATCATCTATTGTACAATGTTGATGAACCAACATTTTCAGCTACCAACTGAAAGTTCCAATATTTTATGCTCACTCACATGTAGACACTGGAAAGTTGATATTCAACAAGAGGCATGAACCCCCCCCCCCCCCCCCAGTGAAAAATACTCCTGTATGCCTATTATTGCTTTACTGAAAACATCTATATGATAGAATAATCATATAAAAATAGATACCAAGTCCTGCTCTATGGCTTCAGAGAGTTCATTCAGTGGAGAATTAACACGTTGACTACTAAATTCTGTGACCACCATAGGCTCCTGTAGGCAATAGGTTAATTTTGATTGAGGATTACGTCTGCTGCTTCTTCTATGCTGTCCACAACAATATCCGCTTTCTTCTCCAATATTGCTTTATCTATACCTCCAGAAAGAACACCTGAAAAAACGAAACATGAGAGTATAAAAGGAATATCAGCCAGCTAGAGCAGTAAATGCATAGGAACACAATACATTTATTAGAATAAAAAGAGAATTGGTACTACAGAAATCGAAGAATATAGCAACGAATATAGACAAATTAGAGTTTTTCCGTCTTGCATCCATCAGAGCACAAGAATGAACAGAAAGCTGAAATCTGGGATTATAAACATGGAAGCTAAAGGAACAAAGAGCATGGAAATATAACAGGCTGTGATTGGCTGTCAGGAATCGGAAGAAAGAAGATGTAATAGAGTGGTGAAGTGTGACGTCATCAAAAATCTATCTTTAGAATTTCTCAATTTTTTTCTTCATTTTCTGAAAGACTATTAAAATAATGTCCAAATATTAAAAACCAATTGAATAGGTTAAGTATTGGCTGAGATATGACCATCTGAATAATAGATTTCCTATGGGAACTGAGTGTTATATTGCTCTGGTTTAATATAATCTGGTATAATATTACGAGCCAGAGCAATATAACACTGAGTTCCTATTGGAAATCTATTCATTCAGATGGCCATATCTTAGCCAATACTTAACATATTCAATTGGTTTTCAACATTTGGACATTAAGTTATTTTTTATGCTCTTTCAGAAGATGTTGAAAAATTGAGAAATTCCAAAAATAGATTTTGATGATGTCACAGCTTTGGTACTCTATGCCAGGCATTTATTGAAAACAGGCGTAAGCAAGGCTTCATTCCTTTAGCTTCAAATTATGTTGTCTGATTTGGGCTTTCTGTCCAGAATTCTTGCAATTTGGTGGTGGTGGTTGTTATTTTACCTGTCCGCTAAGAAAGCATAAATGGTTGTATAAAGTAAGCAACCAGGCGGCGGCTGACGGCTTTAGGTCCTCTCCGGGGACCTGGTAATGAGGATTTAATGCCTTACCATAGGTACTAGCGCATCGACTTGGTTTCAAACCCCGGGTCACCAGACGAGACCACTGCTCTACCAACTGAGCTATCGCAATTCACTCTGATGAGTGCAAGAAGAAAATTTTCAATTTGTCTGTATTTGTTGCTATTAATTCTTTGATGAATTTATTTATCCACTGCTCATCAAATGCCGGTGGATTTAACCTTTTGAATTTTTGGGCATGCAGATGGGACATATTACCATTAAGGACAAGTTATTTTCACATGTCTACAAAGACATTTGAGCTTGACAAACTAACATGATGATTCGCTTCATGTTATACTTAACGTTATGTTACATGTATGTGATACTTACTTATAACAAGACCACATTCTGCATTCTTTCCGCACCATAGCATCAGTGATGGTGTCTCCTATAAACACAGCATTCTTGGGATCTACTCCTAGTGCTGAGCAGATTTTGAGGGCGGTATACGCATCAGGCTTGGGTTTGACTCCAGCGTCGCTTCCACACACCACCATGTCCACCAGATCGGACACACCCAATCGTTCTAAGATGCTTTCAGTCGTGACGCGACTGTCGGAGGTGTTGACAGCTATTGAATACCCATTATCTAAAAGAAATTCAAAACAAAGAAGAAATAATAATAACAATATTTATAAAGCGCAACATATCCATCTCTAGAGATGCTCAAGGCGCATACAAATAATTTAAATTAATATTCAACATACTTAAGATTAAAGAAATATTAAATGTTAACTTGCATTAGATCACACAGCTTCATGGTGCCAAGGTACATACAATGTTGCACAGTGTGATTATTTGTTTCGCATGTATCAATAAAAAGATCATTGAAATTAACAATATGCATTGAGTATTAGGAGAGTTTGAAATGTATGAACTCATATAGCAGAATAAGACACTATGATTATTTAATGGTCTCACTATTAGTTGTGTACATCAATTGATTTTACATATTTTCTTCTCTTTCCTAAACAGGATAAATTGGCAAATTCTACAAGGTCTCTGCAACTGTTCTAAAAAGTTCCCAATGGGGGGGGGGGGGGGGGGGGTAGGGTGGATACACAAGTCAGAAAACTCTCTGACAGGCAAAAATGAACAAAGGTCATCACAATCTTGAGGTGCTCACTCATCTCGAAATTGTCTGACAAGTCCGGTAATTAAAAGAAAGGCTACCGCATTTTTCAGATGCCTTTGACAGTCTTAATAATGGCAGCAGCGAGGGGGAGCGGTTTCTCTGTGCATTTTCCTTAGGTACTAACAGTATTATGTACACACCATGAATATGCCAGAATTGACTTTGCAAGGAGGGCGAGTGCCTTGCACCCCCCCCCCCCCCTCCCCCCAATCCAAAACTGAATCTTCAAACTTAAACCTATACAAAAAATCATCACCTCTTAGCCTAGAGAAGATACTGTACACATCGCCAAAAGGCAGTAGTTCTCCTGTAGAGCAGCACTGCCATCTTTGTCATAGGAGTGTATGGACACATCCCGAGCTTTTTCAGATGAAAGACCCTTCTTTACGAGGAGATCACTAAGAGAGTTGATGCAGACCTCATTGGTAGACTCCAAGACGTGACCGGACCCAAATTTGCGAGTGTGGACGTCGAACCCCATATCCTTGTAAATCTCGTCTTTTATGGAGAGTCCAGTAGCGGCCTCCATTCTATTTAAGAAAGGAGGATTCATAATAGTGATTTTTTTTTTTCATCTATTATAAATGACTATGATTAAATGTGATTTTTAATTGTTAAAAAGGGCTACTGTATCACAGTGGCGTGACCAAATTCATTGGCCAATGTATAATTATTATGTGTATAGTGATTACAACTTTAAATTTTTTTAGAATGTTCTTATCATATGTGTTATTTTGATCATACTTTTATGATTTCGGCCACCTTGTTTAGGCTATCAATGGGGCCAGCATAGCATTTATGCATAACAGGGTTCCGTCTTTGTAAAATATTACGACTTATCATCATCTAAAGGTGCAGGAATAGACTTGGCAAAGTTCTTATTCCCATTGACACCAATTCTGTCTAGAAAGTCTCAAAATTGGCAAATTCAAATTGCTCACAAACATTAAAGCCCCACTGTCCTACTTGTAGCTACTTGCTCCCTCTATATAGAAAACTTCCCAACGGTGCCTGTTGGTCCCCCATATGATCCTCTTTTTCTTATGTTAGTTGAGAGCTGAGTTAATGAGATAGCCACCTGTCAGTGACCTCGCTGTGTGGTCTAATCCCTTCTGGCCCAGTAGTGTTGACTGTCTTTAATATTTAAGTCTTACCTTTCCGCTACTTGGATCATCCATGGAGCCAGCATAGCATTCATGCAGAGCAGGGTTCCATCTTTGTCAAAGATAGCCACCTTCTTATCGCCATTGGCTGCAGTAGTAGAAGACTTGACACTGTTCCCGTTCATGATTTGACCAACTCTGCCGAAGAGAGTCTGCAAGAAATCCAAATAAAAGCATTCGTGAGTTATGGTGATGTCAGAAGAAAAGAAAAATCACAGATTTAATCCAAAATTGCAAGCTGCACTGGCTGATGCAAACTGATACTAGACAGAAATACCCATCTGGGATCCTGTTTCACAAAGCTTAATCAAAGAAATGACAAATGACAAAAATCAGTGACAAGTCTGCTGATAACCAATCAGAAGCAAGGATTTCAGTGGCTTATAACAAAACTGTCATTTGTCACTGATGACAAGTTTTGTGAACCCCCCCCCCCCCCCCCCCCCCCCCCCCGGTATTGGGAATTTTTAAACAAACTTGACATTTGTGAACCTTCCTCTGTGTAGAGGTGGTCACATTGCAGCCAGACGTAGTCTGAATTGAATTTGAATTGAATTTATTTATTCACCACCATTGAAAACATTGAAATAAAAGATATACAATGTATATAAAATGTACAATGATGTCAATATAACATAAATACTTGGCATGGCCCGTTGCACAAAACTTTCCATTGATGGTAACTTTGCCATCAATGGCAACTACCATGGTGACAGGGCTCAACAGCCAATAAAAATCAAGGTTTCCATGGTAGTTACCATTGATGACCAAGTTACCAGAATTATAAAAATAAATGTTCTACAGCGATATACATGTACATGTACATTATAAAAATATTCAAAAATAGTTATAAGTAATTTTAGTAATTTTAGGGTCTCAGACTCAGCAGAACAACCATCGATATCGGAGACTGAATTAAGCTCAAGGTCTAAACTGATAACTGCCACATGATTGTGTATGAAATGTGACTATAACGGAAAAAATCAATGCAAAGCTAGTTTTAAAATAAGAATATCTAGGATCAAAGAAACTACAAAACCCAACCCTTTTAAAGAGCATATACCGTAAATGTACATGTTTTGCAAATGCAAAGACGTACTGCACTTCTCTATTTCTCTCTGACAACTACCATATATACAATAAATAAACAATAATGTTAGTCATACTTTTAACCCGATTCAAACTCATTATCCTTGGCTCTATGAAGATAATCTCAAGAGCAATTTTGGCCCTGCAGTACCGGTATTGTATGTGATTAAACACCTAATGTTATATCTGATGATCAGAACTAGATTTATTCATGCGTATTTAAATGTACATGTATCACACTGCACACCAATAGTAAACCTATGCATGCACGTATCACTCCGGTGACAATCGACAAACATGGAGTAATAAATACACAGTAAAACTGAACATGTTTAATTTCGGTACTTTATTGACTCGTATATAACACATAAAGGCATAACACCTACCATATAAATTTAATTATTATTCTTTATTGGCATGATTGGTGACACAATTTCTCCCCCCCCCCTCTCTCTCTCCCTCCCTTGAAGTCTCTTCCTCCCTCCCCTCTCCCTCCCTCCCTCCCTCCCTCCCCCTCTCCCTCCCTCCCTCCCTCTCCCTCCCTCCCTCCCTTCCTCCCTCTCCCTCCCTCCCTCCCTCCCTCCCTCCCTCCCTCCCTCACTCCCTCCCTCCCTCGGTCCTCTCTCTATCTTAGAAAAAATCAACAGCATCATGATTCAAGGGCTAAACATTTGTTTTCTTGCAGCAGCACAATAGACCTTCTAAAATACTTCTTTCTTTTTTTTATCAGTAACATCAAAGTCATAGACAGCTAGGCTAGTACTATTCAAATTTCAAGCTTCAAAGTTCAATTCGATAGTGATCTATTAAACCACTCATAGCCATAATCTTGCCCATATTTTGAACTTCCTAAGTTTTTAAAAATTAAAGAAATTCCACCCCCAGACTATAGGCAAAGGCTCTCCCACTGCACCCTATCCGTAAAGATAGAAGTGGTTCCCAATACAAACTTTTTTGGGGTATGTAAATGGAGAGAGTGCGAGTTTTTTATAGTTAAAACTCTTAACAACTGTCTGCTGCCTCGAGATCATTGGAGCGAAGAAAGGTACATATAACTACCTATCCCTATTCAGTGAAGGATTAATCCTTTTCATGCAGATGGATTCTTCTCCCATTCTTGACAAGAAGTGCGTTACAAACTTAATTATGTGGGCATCACATTTGGATAAAAAACAGAATAATTCAGGGAAAAAACGCAATGGTTGGCAGCTCTGGAGATGGAATGCCCAAATATGAGGGCTTTTTTGTACTCTTTAAAAGAGCACACAATAGGGGCACTGCAATTTAAATTTCAAGGGATGGATTAGAGTTTTTATCACTCACAACGGCTATTAATCATGGTACCAAACAATTCATATAAATATATGTGTTCTGTATCTATGGTCTGCTGCGCACTTCTTGCCTTCACCCCCCCCCCCCCCCCCCCCCCTTGAAAAATCTTGGAACCGCCGCTGATAAATGGGTAGTTTTACCCCTTTCCTCTTAATGAAGTATAAATTGTTATTCGCAAACTTTAAAGGTTACAGTTCATAATCTGGTACTGTGCGACAAGTCGTTTGACTTTTGTCTCCCCTTAGCAATTCATCCAAATAACAAATCCATGTAAGAGAGTAGAGACATTTTTTGAAAGTTTTAAGCAAATTTCATCAAGAAATTGGGAGTTCTTTTTCAGAAAAACTTTCTTTTAACAAGCGGAAGCGCTGGTGGCTCTGTTTTCTTTGGATCAGATATTAACTTATCAGACCTAAAACAAGCCTCATTATCCTAAATTTGGGAGTACTGGTGTCATGAATACCAGTGTCCTAAAGACTTTTTGTTACACTGGCGTACAATACCCATAATTCAGACTGCACACATACAGTCCCGCTTCTTGTGTTTACAATTACAGTCTTTTCCTCCTAGAAATCCAAGGCTTATCATAATTTTATACTGGAAAAAGGCACAGATTTAATGAAATGATATCCTGGCAAAAAGTATACACCAAATCGCACAAATTGTATTTTGAAAATTCGATTTTTCTTCAGCTCCTCACCCCTCAGACTCCCCCTGTTCATGAAATGCCCCCCCCCCCCCCTCGCCGCCGACTGGATCTGCACGCCCCTGTGTGTACAGTGTAGATCTACATGTAGGCATGTGCGGTAGTGCGTACTTTCTCTTCGCCGGTTGAATCAACGATACAACATGGAAGAATCGTCGGGGTAGGACGAAGAATCACCCCCCTTTTCCCCATCGAAGACTTCTTCAAACTATAATTTCAAGTTGCCAGATAGATGCCCAGAGGAGTCGAGCAACCTAGTAAGTCAAAGTTGTAATTACTCCCTTAACCCTTTGCATATTTTGAGATAATGTCGCCCCAACCTCAACCTGCTGTTTGAATGTTTTTTGATGCACCACCTGAAATGAAAGCTTCCTGGAGTTAGTCTATACCTTTTCCTATGCATCATGTGCATTGTTAGCCCTTGTGATTTTTTTATCCCGCCAGCTCAATAATAGCCTTGAAAGTCTACTGTCAAATAAAATTGATTCCTTCAAATCCTAGTTTCTCATCCGATCCACCAGTTAGAGCAGCGCACCGCCCCGACTCTACGCCTGCCAAGGGTCCAGGCGTCACCACTTGTCGAATTCCGGTGGTCGGCCGTCGGTGCTCTAGCCAAGCTTGCCAAGGAGTCTTTGTTAAATTATACCGCAGTGACAGATTTAATACTTACAAAATATGAAACGCGTTGCAGCATCAATGAATCAATGAGATTTTAAAGCAGGGTCCAACCGAAAATCATAGTCACAGACACAGCTGCAGCTCTAACTTCTAAGGCAGAATCCACAACATCGATAGCCATGAAAATCAATCGCGTGGAACAGCTGATTCCATGTAGACTCGAATCAAGCAACAGCCACATATTAATTTTTGTATTTATTTTTCTCAGTAGACCATTTTTCTAAATAATAATCACAACCATCTTTCTTATCTTATTGAAAAAAAATTTAAAAATTGTTATTATAATTTTTTATAATGGATTGATTTAATAGGATACATTATGCACAAACTTTGATGAATCAGAAATGGATTCATTGAAGAATACCTGGGGATCAGACTATATATTGTCATTGTCATTGTCATTGTCATTGTCTTGTCATACAGTACAAGTAATAAGTTGCAGGCTCATCATGAGCAGATAAAAGGTCATTGCAGACCAAATTGTGAAATACACGGAGACAAAATACTGGATATATATATATATATATATATATATATATATATATATATATATATATATATATATATACGTCACCTCATGAAAGTTATGTCATCATTATTAAGGCAATACAAAGTTTTGGGAAATCTTAAAAAATGGGTGGATAATGATTCTTGAAACTTGAAGCTGAAAGAACAGATTATTAAACAAGTCTCCTCATTTAACTGCCTCGGCAGCATGATCACCGAGGATGCCATGTGAGACCCCCCCCCCCCCCCCCCCCCCACTCAGTGTTATTTAGGGTACGCATATGCTCGTTCCCTCTTTTTGAAAGCACCCCCTATCTGCAATTGAGGACTGCCAACATTTCCGAAACCCCCTTTCGCGGGCTTTTCGCGGGCTTTTCCTGCCTTGGAGACCCCCCCCCCCCCTAAATCATGAAAAATGCTCAATGTACCCACTTAGATTCGGAATAATCCAAAGAGATGAGCGAAAAAAAGAAAAAAAACACCCCCTTTTAAAGAAATCTCCGTGTGAAAAGTTAATACACCCCTTTTTTTTTTACAACTCTCGGGCCGGACTTCGCACGAAAAGTACCCCTTTACCGGACATTTTGGTAACACGCATGGGGTCCGTCCGTTCTCGGAGTTGGGGGGGGGGGGTTGTGAGACAGAGATCAAGAGAAGGATAGCTCTCGCTAAATCTGCATTTTCAAAGTTAGGCAAAATTCTGACAAATCGAACAGTATGAGGACCAGAATAAGAGTATATTGAATTGTTACATCTACCCAGTACTTATGTATGGTAGTCAGGCAAGTAGCCAGAGTTTGATGTTGGGGGGGGGGGGGCAAATACAATAATCGATCGACGTCCTGCATGGGGAGGGGTCTAAACAAAAATCAACCGATCCCTGCCCCCCCCCCCCCTCCCTCCGTGGGTACGTGCCTGGTGGCAGTGGACTTTAGCCTCTGATACTAAAAAGCGTTTGGAAGTTGTGAAAATTTTTTTTAAAGAAGAATGATGAAAATCCCCTGGACTGACAAAGTTAGTAATGAGGAAGTTCTTACACGAGCTGGAGTGCAAAAGAAAATGATACGTGAGATGAGTAGGCAGTTGAAGTTCATGGGTCACATTATACGTAAAGAAGGCCTATAGAGAATCTTGCTTTGACAGGGAAAATTGTGGGAAGAAGGAGTAGGGAAGAAGGAGGATACTCAGTGCAGTGGCGGATCCAGGGGGGGGGGGGGCGGGGGGCCCGGGCACCCCCCCCCCCCCCTTCAGAAAAAAAATTATCTAAAATCACGTGATTTTTACCTTTGGGGGGGGGGGGTTGGCCCCCCCCCCCCCCTGGCGCCCAAGGGTGGGATGCAAATTTTTTAAAATTTCGAGGACCAAAAAGAAAAAATAGTGCTCACTATAGGGTTAGTCATTACTATGACACCGCAATCATGCAGAAAAATAGCCAAGAATAACAAAGTTCTGTTTGTTTAAAGTAATGCTTACATTTCCATAATTGGATTACGAATTCGTTTTCACTGGCTGCCTGCCGTAGCAACAGTCAGAGTTGACAAAAGACTTGACTCCGTTTCGCAAGTTGACGATCAGCCATGCATCAAGTCTTTCGTCTTTTTTGTGCATGGATAATACCGCCGCATCGTTATGAGTTGCATCAAAATGAAAGAGGAGGATCTAAGCTTTACAAATGACAGTCATTTATTAATTTCAACTGTGATTAAGTTATGATAACATATCGATAATTCTCGGTTTCAAATTTTCTGTAACGGACTGTACAGTCCTAAACCTTTCTACATGTATATAGCGACCATAAGCCTGACTTGATACTGTGGCCCACAGTGCACCTGTAAACTTTAGGTCTATAATGCCTATAAAAAGCTAAGCTTTGTAGTTTGCCCAGCCCGATTTCTTTTTTTCTTTCTTTCTGTCTATTTTGTTGATGTTTTGTTTACATCTCGCGCATAATAGCATTAACAACCTGAATTATTCGGGAGTCTGTGCAAGCAAGACGGTGTCGATATAATTATATTAAAATAATTAATGAATCTTTTTGTCTTACTACACCTAAATCCCCTTCAAACCGCAATTGAACGTGACATAGATAATGCCCTTGAATGAAGAAAAAGAATTAAAAAATCCCCAGTGAGTAGGGCTAAACCTTACAATAATGATTTTGAGGCTCTATCCGATTATCGACTGACGGCGTCCCAGATCGATATTCCTTATTTTGTTCTGTATTCGTATGGTGGAAGTTGAATAGCTACGAATGCGCGCGTAAGAATATTACCGACCCCTATAAATTGTCCGTGGAATTATTTTGTGGTCAGGGTTAATCTATAGATCGGATACAGGTTGAGGAGGGGAGGGGATTCGTTGGTTGAGCAGAAGTTGTTTTTGAGGAGTCATGGAGATTATTATTGGTTACCTCTGCCAGTGACGACACAAGATACTTTTCCGTGGCTCATCATGTTTCTATTCCCCTGAATTTTATGCATAGTAGGGCCACATCTTTCAAAGAGTTGCAATTGATCCGAATCAATCGCAAGCTTACATGTCTCATATTATACCTCTTATGTATATTTTACTCGCAGAGAAGTTGTTTTTCTGTTGATCTGGAAGATAAATACTTTTCTTTTAGGCCTACACTATTATTAAATATTTTTAAAATATATTATTTCCCTTCCGTAAAATACCCCATCCCTTCTTCCATCCCTCGATCCCTATTATATTAATATACCTCTACCCCTCCCCTCCCCTCCCCCTCTCTCTCTCTCCCTCTCTCTCTCTCTCTTTCTCTCTCTCCTCCCCCCCCTCTCTGTCTCTCCCCTTCTCCCCCTCTCCCCTCTCTCCCCCTCTCTCTCTCCCCCTCACTATCTTTCTCTCTCTCTCTCTCTTTCTCTTTCTCTCTCTCCCCCTCTCTCCCCCTCTCTCTCTCTGTCTCCCCTCTCTCTGTCTTCTTCTCTCTCCTCTCTCTCCCGTCTCCCCCTCTCCCTCTCCCTCCCTCTCTCTTCCCCCCTCTCACTCTCTCTCTCTCTCTCTCTCGCTCTCTATATTACGTTCCTATTCATAATTATATAAATTTAACCAAAATAATATTCAGCCTCGCGGATGGAAGCGGGATCTCATCCTATTCTTTGGTTTCGAGCAGTTTCACCTGGCTTCCGCCCTTCCTTTCAATCTCTGATAGCCTTACCAATCACCAAAGCAGGTGATACTCTAACAAAAATTGAACTCTCGTCTTCAAGGTAAAGTCCATATTCTTCGAAAATGCCATGTGAATATAGGAAAATTAATACAAATAGATATCTTGGTTACCGAATGTATTTAAAGAGAAGTTTGAGTTCTGGGAAGAGGTGAAAATAATTTGTGAGCGTTATCATTCTTATTATGCAAGTCAGTGTGGAAGAACATCAGATAAGACATGTTCCCTGAAAAGCATGGCTCTTCAAATGCCTTTATATTCTAAATATGTTATGTAACATCGTAAACTCGGGGTATACGCCACGTGTTCGTGTAGTCCCATATACATCTTTCTGTGTACAGTGTTTGTAACTTTACCAAAACTTGGCCAAATTTCTTATCATTTTGATGATTCCAGAACCTTGCAATACACACAAATTCTAATATGCTATGTAGATGATCAACCTTTTCTCGTCGATTCCACACCGTTTCTTTCACAATGCAATCGCATGACCAGAACTCAACTTCATCTTTAAATAATGCGTCTTGAGAGAGCTGTTTTGAATAGACGAGGTCACCAGATATTAATATTTAGATGAACTTTATGACTACTGATCATAATAATTGCCAGCGGAGTAGCGAGAGTCCGCGATTTATTTATTTTTATTTTTTATTTTTTAATTTATATATTTTTTTTTTTTTTCGGGGGGGGGGGGGGGTTCCTGCTGGCCGAACTCAGAACATTAAATGCAAATTTATTAGGCTATATTAGAGGATGATGCGAGGTGTTTGTGGCAATCTTTAAATAATAATATTCCCTTTTCCCTGTTCCCTTTCTCTTGTTTTTTTTTTTTTCTTCATTTTTTTTTCTTCACCACGATTGATGTGGGTCGATCAGGGACAAGATCCACATGACTGTGCTCATGTATGTCTACACCACTGAGTATAAAATTATGTGATCATGAAGTTACTTTATGTTCGTCATTTATTTTCTCTAGTTCTGCCTCTGTTCCATCTCGAAATTATTTCTTTCTCTCCTTCTCTCTATAAATTTGTACCGAGAAGCCCTTTAAAAAAAACGGTTTTCATTATCCTGGTTATAGCCGGTATATCGTCTTCTCATGCCAGTCGTTCTTCAATAATGACTTGTATTAAACCAGACTTCATCGTTTTTCGCACTACTTACAGACTTCGGCAACAACTTTGCAATGCTGTCATCGGAGTCTAAGGGACATCTTCAGCACAATGGCCCGCTGTACAAACATGGACTATAGAAAACCTCTGATTTGATTTCAAGTATTTACACACGAGATTGTTACCAGGTACAGATTTGTTTGGGAGACGGGTATAATATATCAATCTATTTTAAGACAGGAATACAAATTTTCGTTTAGCGGACACAGTTCATTCGAAACAACAGTTGAGACATATTATTATGCAATGACCAAATTAACGTGCAAAGCCAAAGCATAATTAGCGACAAAGACAAGTAAATACATAAATTATGATAAGAGCCGTTATCTCCGATAGTAACACGGTGAAATTGACAACTTGGTCGCACCAGTTCGCGGGCACAAGTTTTTGTTTCGCCATATTTTTTTTTAATTGAGCGGGGGGGGGGGGGCTCTTTCCCCAAGTATTCAATTTAGGGCCCCGATGCAAAATTAATGAGCAGCTGTCAGTTTTAATTGGTTATCCCGCCAAGCTCCTGTTCTATGCCATTCACTTCTTCTGTCTTAATGCTTGGCCATCAAAACGAAAAGGAAATAAAATGAATGCGTAAATTTAACAAAATTAAAACTCTATATAATAGTAAGTAGTATTTGTACTAATAATAGTTGCAGGTGTAGCGGCTTGAGTGACTTTTTGCCAGCCAGAGTGCGCTGTAAAAAAAGAATCCATAGCCCTATTACATATTTTATTTATGATATAATCTGTGGGAAATCATAACATAGTGTTTTTATCATGGCTAGGTCCCTCATGACATTTCATTTAACGCTTAAAATTCTCTGCCAGTATCGCATATTAGCAAACCTCACAATAATGAGGCAGTGACAATTCGGATACTGAGCTGAGGAGTGCTTTACAAGGGTTTACGACTTCTCTTTCTTGTTACTTCCACTGTCTAGTACCACGCTCTGTTTGAGGCAACCTTGACTGACGTCTAATAAACAGACATACACACAACACAACAACCCCCCTCAGCTCCTCTGTTATTGTATTGTTTACGGGGGTATCACCCGGCATCCCAATGTTGTGTTCCCCCAGTTTCATTCACAAATTTAGAAAACCCGCGCCGACGTTGGCGGCAGCATAACCTTAAATAATCGATGTGATGGTTACGTACCGTAACGACGACCCAACAATAAACGTAGCAACGGACAGCCGACCAATCAGGGCGCTCGTCACGAGGCCTTTTATCGCGTGTACTCAGCTCGGGAGCAATAATACTCCACCCGTCTGTCGTGAGAGAAACATATCTGACTGCAACTCTCTTCAGGAAACTATAATACTTTGTCGTATTTCGCAATATTCAAGGCATAACGTAGCACTGTCGACAGTCAGACATCAATAATAACAATCTACAGTAGCGTTGGGAGATAATTTCACAACCATTTCTTTCGTAAAACATTGATAATAATCTTGTGATACACATAATACTTCGCGGTATTGTATCACGCTTCTACGCAACGTTCTAATGCAGAGCAATTTATAGTTTGATATATTATCTTCAACACCTTTGGACACATCTCGAATTCACGATGGGCTGTAACAGTTCAAAGTCAACTCAAGTCATGGAGCTTGGTCCCGATGGCGAGGTCGTCAGCCGCAAATCATCGGCATCATCGTCGAAACGGGGCAAGAGTGCCGGCAAGAACGTCCGCGATGTCGACGACAACTCAAACGATGTCCAAGTTCTGAAGGAGAATATGGGATCGACAGGCTCGCTGGGAAGTCAAATGATGGATAATAAATCACAAGATCGACTTGTGTCGTCGGCGACCAGCAAGATCTCGAGAAGGACCTTCGACAGCGGACTGGAGTCCGACTACGGCAATGTCATCACAGAATACTCACACCCAAACATGATCGATGACCGACCAGAAACACCAGGTAAATATCGAAACTTGTTTTTTGCGTCAGTTCATAATTTTAAACATCTTTAATAATCTTGGCAATCTAATATGATAATCGTTCGATCTT